TCATCTCGGTATGTTTCATTTTCTATTGGGAACTTGATATTTCACCTTTTATTCAAGTTTTATATTATTTTGCTTAAATATTCCTGAATTTAGTGGCTTGGCTTAAAAAAGAAGGTACTTTAATTTCTTCAATATGGGATATGCTTATCAATCAATTTAAATTTCTACGAACTTAATTTTCTGCAGGGGCAGTGGTGCCAGAGCTGAAGATCAATCTCAAGATGGAAGGTAAATTCTAAACATACGAGTTCTTGCTTTTGTTAACATTTTAAGGCTTTGTTAGAAACTTATTTACTTAAGAACTTTTTTTTTATTCTTTTCTTTCATCCATTGGTATTTATTGGTAGACGACTTGAGCGCAAGTTTTCTGAGCAAAACATTGGTGCTCCACCTAGTTATGAAGAAGCAGTTAGCGAATCACGAAGCCCTGTTTACAGTGAAAGGTATCAGTTTTGTCTTTAGAAGTTGGTGAAGATATTATTTGTAATAATGTCTTCAATTCTGATTGTCCTTCTGATCAAAGGGGTGAAGAGACTGCAGCAGTGCCTGCTCCCAGAGCTGCTTCTCCTCCTGCAAGCAATAATCCAATCCAAGCACCTGCTGCTTTAGTGGGTGCGGCATCCCCCACCCACCAGGAAGTTGGGGCTTCTGATGAATTTGACCCCCGCAGTCCCATTTCAGGTATCTACTTGTAATAATATGGAAATATTAATATCCAAGATATTACTGAAAATGAGATGAAGTTGAGATGAAACTTTTTTCTTGATTGACATTCACGCAATACTGGAATCATTTTCTCCCTAAAATGTTTTATTTGCTGTAAAGATAAGAACAAAATCCTTTCCAGAACAAAAAGAAATTGTAAGTACTTGAGCAGTTCCTCATTTGTTGTTATTGTTATTATTATTATTATAATTGTTTTTGGGCTGTGTTTGGGATAAGATGTGTTACACTACAAGAATCATAGATGTTGGGTCGTGGATGCTGTATTCGTTGTTTCTTCAGCTATGATGGACTAAAGCTTAATAACTATTATTAAACATACTTGTAGCTGTTCCCCCTACCGTATGGGTAAGTTGGAAGAAAGGAAATGGAAGGCCTTTTGAAGGGGTATAAACTAAAGCTTAATAACTATTATTAAACATACTTGTAAACTAAGATGTTTGGTTCCGGACTCT